TCATCTTCTTTTCTTATCATTTCTTTTCTCTCATAACTTAACCTTTCTCTTATTTTCTTTTCTATCCTCAACTTCCAAACTAGCCATAAGAGAGAATGTTGCCATTAGGGAGTACACCACATTGAAACACCCACATCAAAAGTTCCAAAGAAATTTTTTTTTTGGAGAGCGAAGCAAAGTCAATGAGAGATACAATAATCATGATGAGGCCCAAAGGAGTAATCACAAATTGAGCTTGAAGTATAATAGAGCAAATCAGAATAATAAGTGGAGTCGAGTTGAAAGAATTGTCTCGCCATGGCCATCGAGTCTGAAACCGTGATTCGAATCTTCATTGTTGGCTGGGCTTTCTGAGTAAGAAGAAAATAATTTTGTAGAAAGAAAGTTGGGAAAATGGGAAAAAAATGGTAGAAGGAAAGCTTGCCATATGAGTTGAAGAACAAAAGAAAAAAAAAATAGAACAAATATAGAGATGGTTTTCCTCAATTTCCTCAAAATTAGAAGGAATGTTTATCATATTGAATTTTTCTCTTTCTTAGATTGGCTGTATAAAAGGTTTCCTTTTCTCTTGTTATTGGACTTTGCTTCTTATTTGTTATCTTCATCTTTGCTTCCTCCTTATTCTTCATTTTTCTCTATCCCCAAAAAAGGCACAAGGTTTAACTCAAGTTGTTAATCTGAGTGAGAATCGCATGAGTCGGAACATTTTATTTTTAAAAAAATTTCTTTAATATATTAAATAGCAAAAGAACCAAGATACTTTTATGGCTAATGACACGACTTGCGATGGAGATATACATATAGGTATGCCAACTGTTTTTAGATATTTTTGTACCAATAAAACTATCCATTTTGGTGAGCCCATGTAAACGGATAGTTTACTAGTAGAAATTGACAAAATAATTTGGATGGCTCATTTTTTTCCAATTGAGTGACTTTTTGGCAACAAAAAAAGTCGAGTGATCAAACGATACCATTTTGAATAGTTTAGTGATCATTTTGACCATTCACTCTTTTAATAAACTATCTCAACCCTAACGAGTCACTGTAACCCCAAATAGGTACCATGGGTTGAAGAGAAATCCAAACTTCGCTTGATAAGGGAGTTTTTGCATTGCTTTTAATAGATAAAATTTTATTAAAAATTTAATTGCAATAATATGTTAAAATACCTAAGTTTTATAAAAATACATCTTATAAAAAAAGAAAAAATACACATCTCTTTTCTTTTCCACCACCATCCTCCCTAGCATTTTGTACTTTTACTATTGTAGTGCTGCCTCCTTCTACTATCGCCCCTACCATCGTAGTTGTCCCCTATCACCACACTCCTTCCCACTTCCCCTACCATTCTCTCTCATTTCTTTTTCCTCTTTTCCATTTATTATTCTTCCTTCTCAATTTTCTCCCTGTTTTTCATTGCAACCTGTCTCTTTCCTCTCTTTTCCTCCTCTCCTTACTCTTTCCCTAAGGAGGGATAGGGAAATGGCGATGAGAGTTGGCAAAAAGAGAGAAAAGACAAGTGACGGAAGAAAATATGGAGAAGGAGCAGAAGGAGAGGGGATTAGATAAGAAGAGGGAAGAGAGGAAGAGAGAAGAATGGAAGAAATAGGAAGGGGGTAATGTAATTGGGAGAAGAGTAGATCCTGTTCAAGAGGGAAGAGAGGAAGAGAAAAGTCCAAAAGAAAAAAAATAATTAGGAGAAGAGGGGAAGGATGACGAGTGGTGATGGGGAAGAAAGGTGGTGGTGGTTGCATCAAGTTTGAAGGGCGAAGAGAAGAGTGGGATAGAGGTGACAGATGGTGGCAAGGCGAAGAGAAAATGAGAGGCAATAGTAGCAGAAAGATTAAGAGAAAGGGGTGGGAAAGTGCAAAAGGGACTAGTTGTTGTTGGTCGGTGTGATGACAAGTGTGTGGTGGGTGATGGAGTTTTTCAAATATTCTCCCAAGGAAATGTTATTTGGACTCGTATTTTTATTAATTTTATTCCCACTGTCATTTTATTAATGACATAGTTTTCATTTATTAGATTATATGATAAACAAATAGTAGGACTGCAAATAACAAAAAAAACAGAGTACAAATAATATTTCCTCCAAATATTTCAAATACACAAAGGCTTTTATAGAAATTTTATAGTAGGTTATAGTAAAATTTTAGACAAATCATTTGAAAAATGAACCAAATTATTTGATACTCGAATTGAGCTTAGTTTGGTAAGAGTTCATTTGAATTTGATTTGCCAACTAATTAAACCAAGTTTGAACAACATTTTATGTTTAATAATATTCAAACTTGATAAAAAAAAATTCATTCAAGTTCGGTTTAGCAAATAAATAAATTAAACTTGAACAAAATTTCAAATTCGTTATAATAATCAAACAAATTTGAACACCAAAGTATTCGGTTTGATTAAACTTATTTACACCCTAGACAAATTCACAAAAAAGGAACTATCAAACGGACGACTAATTACAACATGTTGACTAAAATAGTAAATGCATTAAGGTTATGGATAACAAAATAGGACAACATTTTCAATGTTTGGATTTTCTTTGTAGGCAGTTTTCAGGTATCTCCCCATAATCAATGACAACATCATCTATTGGCCAGCTTTTTCATTCGTTGTTTCTTCTTTTGTTTCCATTGATGGCTTAAACACACCCAATATTTGCTTTTAGGTTTTTACAGGTAAAAAAAGGGACCACCCAGAAAGAGAAACAAAAAAGAAAAAATAATGGTGAACGAATGCCTGTTCTGCACCATCGATATAACGTTATCCATAAGTTGTTAGAAACTATTCTACATAAAGAATAAGAAAGTTGATAATGAAGTTGTCAAATAAATGCTTTTGTTGAAAATAGATGGCAGTGGTTTCTCTGGTGATTAAATGATATTGTGCAAGAGTAGCTCAAATGGGCAGATTATTCACAACATTAGTTCTCAACTTGGTCGATAATTTGTAAATTGTAACACTAAGATTGATCATGAAAAAGTAATTGGTTATAACACCATTGAAACTCTCTTTGTGTTATAGATTTCCTATCTTCCTTTCTTATTTTAATTGTGAAGCTATCCAAATATACCGAATAAAATATTTGTCTCTGTCTTTACTATAGTAGAAACACCGGCAAGAAGATAATTTATCTAACAATTGGAGTCCATAGGGTTAATAATTGTCTTAAAATGTGTAATTATCAGAGTAAAGTGCTATAAAAACACCGTGCATTATTTTACTTGGAATATGTGATTATATCCAAAGAATGCTTAAAGATGTTGATAAATTGACTCAACATTTTTTTAAGTGCACCTTAGAAAGAAATGCATTATACGGTAATACATTATCAGACTTATCACTCCTTTTACAGCATTGAAATGTTGCATGTTAATTCAATAATTTGGCTATGTCGGGATTGGTCATTTTTTGAAAAACAAGTTTTTCAATTACAATAATGTTATAGTAATACACAAACAAAAACAATCTCAAAAACACAAAAAATAACTTCAAAACACAAAAAAAGCAACTTCAAAAATATTAAAAACAATTTCAAAAACACCAAAAATATAAAAAATAGCCTTAAAAAACACAAAAAATACTAAAAAATAACCTCATCGATAGTAAAAGTTTTTCAACTACATTGCTACAGTAAAATATTTCAAAAACACCCCAAAAAACAGCTAATCCAAATGAAAAATGTTTTCAATTAAGGTTATTCTTTAATAAGATGAAGTATTAATAAATAACTCACCAAAAAAGATTCCATATTTTAACATGGAATTATTTATTTTAGTATTTAATTCAATGGATGGGCAAATGGATTTGATGTGAAAGAGCCAATTAAAAGAAAATAAAAAGAGAACCAAAAAAAAAGTTTCTATTTCCATTATTTTGTTCCATCAAAAAAAAATTTTAGTTACTAAAGGCGAATTTGCAAAGGAGGAGCGGGTCTCCTCGCCATAGATCCCAAAACCCGCCGAATGCGCGTACTCTTTTCTCCCACTTGACTCGTCCTGGGCTTCGATCTTCCGTACTCTGTCCCCCATTTTATCCATAAATAAACGACACCAATCTTCTTATAATTCTACAACTTCCTAGGATATTTACGGTAATCAAATTATTGTCCTTCGCATTCATTTCCTATTTCCTTCACTTATTTTTTCATGAAAAGCCCCTAGAATTGATTGATATTAGTTGAATGATAGTTGATATTAGTAATTAAAGCCCTATAAGTTATATATAACTTCATCTTTCATCCTTCAAAGTCTAATTAAGTAGCAGCTAAGTCGGTCTTCATGAATCATGATTGATCTTCTGATATTTTTCTAAACCAAATATTCATTAAAAGTTTAATCAGTCAGTGAATGAAACCACAACCAAATGAAATGACAGATATACTAGTTCTTATTTTCAATACAATTAAGAATGTCATTTGATTATATGGTAAAATTTTTAAGAAAATATTTACTTGCTAATTAAGGTGATCCAAGTTCTTCACGTAAAATCACATGAATGAGAAAAGATTTCATGTGTATATACTACATAGAATTACAAATCTCAGATGCAAGCTATGTAAACATAGTATTAAATCAATATAACATTGTAAATAGTTGTTAATTTTGTTTAAATTTTAAAGAAAAATGATAACTCATGCAAACTTCATTATCAAAAATTGGTATTTAGAAAATAGAGTTAAAGAACCTTGAAAAAAGTTATCTCTGGTAAAATCAAATTCAAGTGGAATTAAAAAAAAACTTGCCATACCCACAATATAAGATTCTTATATTTTGCATTTAAATTTAAAAATTTTTTAGTCTTTAGGGACTTCCATTGCAAAATCTCCAAAATAAATGTTCAAAGTTTCAACCGAGCAATTTCCCACACCCTTCCTCCATCCATTCCCCTAAAACTCAATCCCAGCCGTCCATCACAGCCCCCAAACCCTACAACCCCACCTATAAATTGCCCTTTTCAAAATCACGCATAAAAGGAATTCTCTAAAAATCAAACAAAGACATTTCCTTTCCTTTCCTTTCCTTCCCTTGCCCAATTTCCTCATTATCATCCTCCTCCTCTACCTCAACTTCTCAATCAGCAATTCATTCTCAAACAAACCGGTGTCGTGTAGGATTTGTGCATGGAAGCCCACAGAACCGGCAGTCAAACGACGACGTTGGCGGCATCCTCCGTGTACGAGAGATGGGAGGAGGTGTACGTTTCCAGCGATAAGGGGAAGAGAGAAGTGCACTATTTTCTGAAAAGAAGGAACGGCGATGGAGGATTAGATCTGGCGGTGGTGGGAAAAGAGAAAACGCTGAGGCATATGTCGTATCATTACGCTTTTAAAGATAGAGAACAACGTTTTTTGCTTCCTAAGCTCCGGTCAAGGCGCGAGGTCATTGATTGGTTAAATTCTGTTGTCAATCCAGGTACTTAAGCTTTGGGTTGTTTTTTTTTTTTTTGAATTGGTTTGGGATGGGATGTGTGTTACGGTGAATAAAAATTCTCTCTTTACTCTCTTATAGATCTTTGCTTTTTAGGGGAGAAGAGCTAATGAGGATAGTGTTGATATGGGTACTGCAAAGAATTTGAAGGAGAAAAGACATTTTGATATGGTTAAAATTTGGGTTTTCCTTTAGGGGTTTGTTTTTGGTAAAGTGGATTTTTGGATTTTATTGAAATTCCGGAGATTGATAAGGAAAAGCGGATTAACAATTCTGTTGAAATTTTGGTTTTTTAATTGGGATAAATGGGCGCCCTCAGGTGATAATTAGGTAGGTTATCCCATTTCTGATAAATTTTTGGTATTGGGCTGTCAGATATCTAATTTTGCGAAGCTGGATGGTCTGAGCACCATTCAGTTAATTAAAAGAATAGAAGATTGTGTGATTAATAAAGGACATGCGGACCTGGTGGATGGAAGTTTTGCTTTAAATAAAAAAAATTCCTAAAGAAGTTTAGAATAAATTCTGTAGAATGTTTGGTGAAAGATTGAACTTTTTTTTTTTTTTTTTTTTAAAAAAGAAAGATTGAACTTTTAGATATGGTTTAGTCTTTGGAGTGTGGATTAATTTTGTAAGCCCAAAAAAAATTGTTGGGAAAATTTTGGTAAGCCTTCAATTAAAGTTTCTGACCAAGAGTGTGATAGGTATTTTCCTTTCATAGCAATGTTTTCTAGAGTTGCTCTGGGCAAGAGTATATATATATTTTTTGTAATTTCTTGCATAGTTTCGATATCTTCGAGTGTATGTCTGTGTGTTTGGGTTTGTTTTGATCTATGTAGATCTGCAATTTGTTTTGTTTTTAGGGAGCTAGTTTTACCCAAATAGCCCTGTTGATAAATCGTTTCCCCACTCTTTTGTGGTAAAATTCTGTCCCTATCGTCTGCTGTGTGGTTTGAAGACTATGGTTACAAAAGCTTTTATTTGGATAGAGGAAAAAATTTACTGGTCTGCAGAATTTTTAAAGTTATTGAGAATTTTGTTAAATGTTCCCTCAAAGTTTTTGTATTTGACGTATGAATGGTGGCAAGTGGCGGCTTCCTTTATGATTTGAAACTGATTTTTATAGCCTGATCAGATGCTGGTCTGCAATTTGTTGTTTTTTTTTGAGCTAGTTTTGTGCAAATAGCCCTGTTGATAAATCGTTCCCTCACTCTTTTGCGGTAAAATTCTGTCCCCATTGCCTGCTGTGTGGTTTGAAGACTATGAGTTACAAAAGCTTTTATTTGGATGGTGGAGGAAAAAATTTACTGGTCGGCGGAATTTTTAAATTAATTGAGAATTTTGTTAAATGTTCCCTCAAAATTTTTGTATCTGACATATGAACAGTGGCAAGTGGCGCCTTTATGATTTGAAAATGAAAACTGATTTTTATATCCAGATCAGATGTTGGTCTGTTTTTCTTGCATCTTTCCTTTATTTCTTACAAGGAAAAGAGAGTTTTTTTTTTAATTTCATTTAGTATGAGATTGTGTGTTCATGTCTAAATGTTCTGGGCCAGCAGGTGGTAATGTTGTTCAGTAGTGAGGACTGCATTTACATTACAATGCTTCTCAGAACAATTCCATTATTGTCTTTCTAGTTTTGTGACCTTCAGAAAAAATTAAAATTGTTCATGTCTTGTTTTTGCTATATTGTTCAGTGGTAGTTGGCATTTTTAAGTACTAAATGAACCACCCTTTACTGACTTTTTCCGGACCAGGATGTGGTTTTTCTTTTTAACTTTTCTGTAAATATCATTGGCGCTTCCAGAGTTGTTTTGGGAATGGCTTGATGGTTGTAGCTGGCATTAGCATCTCTTATGGATTGCAAAACAAGTTCACGTCTTTTAGAGATTTATTTTTGTCCTTGCATTCCTTGCACCAGTCAGGGTCAATTATCTCAATATGGTGCTCATGCTTTGGAGGACTGACCATGATTTGGTCTGCAGGGATGCAAAAGCCAATATCTAAGAGCTGCTTGAGCAACTTGTGGCTCCCTTGCCCTTATTCTAGGTTGACTTCTAAATTATTTTCTCATGGCCAATATTACTTCTCCACTGTTAAAATGTGTTCTGTGGTGATTTTGTAATAATTTCTTAGTTGGTGATGATATTTATATGCAGAATCACTTTTAGTAATCTCTCTGTCTTCTGTGCTTAGATTTGATGTCTTGCATATTCAGCTTTTGTTTAATTTTATAGTTGCAAATATCAATATGTGCAACTTCATGTACTGTGTGTATGCTCCCCACGGTGATATATTAATTTTATTGCTGGTTGTGACGAGTGATCGTACAATGTTATTTTGCTAAGTTTTCAACTGTCTTCATTTTTGATTTCAGAGTTACAACCACATCAGTCAGTTAAATCTGTTGGCACTTACATGGCAAGCAGAGAAGCCAACAATCAGGATTCACATGTGGTAAAGGTTAGATTCATTTTATTGCCTTTTTCTCCCATTCTGGTTTTTATTGTTCTATGGATGCACTGGTAAGATGGATTTTGGTGTATTGAATTATTTTTGAATAGATCTTGTTTGATGTTTAAGTGCAGAATCTGAAGCAGTGCTCTAAAGAGGTTATGTGGTTAGGTTCACCCTGGACATGCAGGAAAAGGCGGAGACATTACCGGTCATTTTGTCGAAATGGAGTTGAAATTGCAGTAAGTCCTTTTCCAGCATTTTGCTTTATGAGTTGATATTTTGCAACTTTTAGTACACAAATTTGACATCTACATCCAAAAAAAGATGAATTTACATTACGCAAATTTGTCCCTTTGTCCTTCTTTCAGGTTCATGATTTTGTCTATGTCTTGGCTGAAGAAGACGAACGACTTGTTGCTCATTTAGATGATATGTATGAAGATACCAAGGGCAACAAGATGGTTGTGGTACGATGGTTTCACAAAATTGATGAGGTTGGTGTTGTTTTGCCTCAATCCTACCGTGACAGGGAGATTTTCTTTTCTCTTTGTCTTCAAGATCTCAGTATTGAATGCATAGACGGACTGGCAACTGTTCTTAGTCCTCAGCATTATGAACAATTTCTGAATGGGGCAAAACATACTCAGTTGGAGCCATTCGTATGCCACAGGCAGTTTGACAATGATGAAATCAAGGCATTTGACGTAACTCAACTTAAAGGTTACTGGAAACAGGATCTATTGAGATACACTTGTCCTGTTGATGATGGTCTAGAGGTGGAAAGAAATCCTAGTGATGCTGCTGCGAATAGACCCAAGAAGAGGCTCCGATGGTCCGAAGAGTGTGACATGAACTTGCAATCTGCCAGCCAAAAAGTTGACGTTAATGCTACTTTACAAAGTTGCAATGGCAGTCTAACCAGCTCTAAAGTTGTAATGGGGTTGTGCCGTCTGAAAGAATTGTCTGCTGCTTCATTTGGTAACATTAAACTGGAGAAAAAAAATTCGCAGCATCTAAGCATTGGTTCTCAAGTTGAAGTGCTCTCTCAAGATAGTGGTATTAGAGGCTGCTGGTTTAGAGCATTCATTGTGAAGAAGCACAAAGAAAAGGTGAAAGTACGGTATCAGGATATCATGGATGCCACTGATGAAGCCCAAAATCTGGAGGTGAAGACACTGATTTTTCGTCATTTTATCTTTTATATTTTTCAACTGACTTGGGAAAATGAAAGTTTCATTTACTTGTATGGTTGCCTTAAATAGCAAATGCAGCTTACTGTTCTGTGACTAGAATTAGGCATTTTGTAGTTATACTTCTGATAAATATTTATACTTGTCTTGTAGGAGTGGATTTTGGCGTCCAGGTTGGCTGCACCTGATGAGTTGGGTGTTCGAATCTGTGGGAGGAGTATTGTCAGACCTGTGCCATGGACCAACAAGGGTAAAGTTTCATGGGTATTTAATGTTGGAACCCTCGTTGATGTGTGGCGGCATGATGGGTGGTGGGAAGGCATAGTTGTTAAGAAAGAATCTGAAGATCGTCTACATGTTTATTTTCCAGGTTTGAAATACTTTTGCTGTTTATATGGATATGCATAGGTGCATGCCATATGTTGCACGCCTATGCTTTTCAGTGTTTGCCTTTATTGTGAATAGACACTGAGCGCTTCTATTTTATATGTATTTTCAGGAGAAAGGCAGGAACTGATCTTTGGTTGTGGTGATTTGAGGCATTCACAGGAATGGTTGGAAGATGGATGGAAGCAGCTAAAGGAAAGGTCAGATCTTGTATCCGTGTTATCTGGACTGGAAATAAAGCAAGATATTGCTAACTGCGGCAATGTTAAACCAGAGAAAGCTGTCTTGTGTTATGATAGAGATCTTGTTGACAATTCTGTGGTGGATATGGGAGACGAGAAGTTGAATGAATTGAAAGTCATGCGAGATCTCTCAAAAGATGATTTGCTCTCACAATTGAGATGGAAATCATCAGGGAGAAGACGACGTAGTAGGAGCCCCGTTCACAAGTTGCAGTTTGGTGTTCATGACAATAATAAGAGAGTTGAGGATTCACATAAGCAAACCTATCGGAAATATTTTGGTCTGCCCTTGAAGGTGGATCCCGACAACTGCAAGTATAGGGGTGATTCTTCTTTTGGTTCTTCAATCGTCTCTCCATTGTCAAACTTGGTTATGACTCGATGACGGTTCTTCTTGGGCTTTCAAGTTCTTACAGGATTGATTGAAGATCTGGACACATTCGTGGAATTGTTTTACATGTATATAGTATCCTGGATTTTGGCTTTTTAGATAAAGGTACCATGACTCAATTTTTTCGTTGATGCGGGAAATGTGTATATGAAGTTGCTGAGGTATCTGACTCAATGACCTTTTGTATGAACAAGTAGCAGTAGCCTGAGGCAGTACAGAATGCGAAGCCACAGGTAACGTTGTTGATGTAGTAGAAAGAATGACCACTTTAGGCTAATTTAATACCTCATAACACTTCAGCAAATTGACGCGCCTTGTTACCAGCTGAGAATACTTCTTGTAATCTCTCTTTATATTCTTGTTACCAGCTAATTAAAAGTTCTTATCGTCTGGTATCAAACGCTTATTTGTTTTGGAATTGCAATTGATAATCTGATTATATTTCCTCTCCGAAGCTGTCGGTTCGCGATTTTGTTAGTGTTTTATTAGTCAAAGGGAGCGTGCCAGCCTGGCACTCACTGACTTGGCGGAAGTCGAAATGAGAGAGTAAACCGAATTCCCATTGCTTCTGGTTAGGGATTGAGTGCAACAACATATGTGTTGCTGAGCTGATGCATGCATTTGGAAGCTCAAACGCTTTTGTTACTACTACCTAGTACGTGTGTGTACGGTCACAAACACAATGAATTGGCTCAAGGGAATGATAAATTAGTTTCAAGTTCGTTTCTCCCAAGCGGGAAGGGAGGTCATTTTCTTCCCTTGTTAGAAAACAGGGTGGGAGATGGAAGAGTATACTGTCGCCCCATTTCTCGTTTCGTCACCCGCGTAAATGTACACGCACACCCATTTATCTTTGGAAATTTTAGTTTTTTTTTTTTTTAAAGAAATTTTAAAAATCTGATATGGATAGGGTGCTGGGGGAACTCTTGCTTACTCAGTTCGTTATATGGTGAAATAAAGTACACGGACATTTTTAAGTTATGATTTTCCTTGACATTTTTCCAAATTCATCCACTGTTTGGAATTGGATTTTGCCTGTAAACATGAAGTTGCTACAGTAACTGAAGAGAGGTTATGCTTAAGGGTCTTCAAACCCAAAGAACTTGTAATTTATCAACTCCATTACAACTATAATAAGAAGGATCAAGTGACTCTTTAAATATTTTATGTTAGGTGTACTAAAATAGTTTCCTAATCTTAAAATGGCGTTAATAGTGGAGGCAAGGAATTCCTGAGGGGGACACATTAACGTTTTATGCTTCATTGATCCCCTCCCCCCCCCCCCCCCAAAAAAAATAAAGACAAAAGAAGCTTGATTAGTTTTTAATCATTTAAGCTATGCTATTTTTGCTAGTAAAAACTTAGATAGACCTGATTTTATAAATCATGTGATTCAACTATTGCCATATCATGAGATGGTGCGACAAAATTTGGATTACATGATCTACACAGATCGGGTCTACCTAAATATTTACCATTTTTGCTAGTTTTAATGGCCATGTGAACTTGTCTTTCAATTTCATTTGCCAACGGTCATAGGTTTCTAATACAAATAATGAACTACGGACTTAAAGCCTATTTTCTTGACCCTAACTTAGCATGACGCACAAAATGCCATATGCAGAGCATAATCTATTGATTAACACACGAGGCCAGCTATAAACCCTCGTAGTATTACCTAAACAGAATTTGACCTGATTTGATTAACGCAACTAAAAGTTGGATAAGTGGGTGGTTTAGTCCTTTAAGTAATGTTGGTACAATAATGATTCCGTGTAGAGAAAAGTTCAAGGTACTGTGGGGCTGCTGTTTGTAGAGTGAAAGCATCTCTGTCGCATGATGGCTTTTCCACTTTATGATGCCTTTGTTTCAACAAATTTTTTTCTTGCTACTATTTATTAAGCACCCTTCTTCTCCAACAACATACGGAGCATCTACAAAGGATGGGGCTGCTCTATATTTGTTCTCAGAGAAGTTAGTAACTCCTTTTCCCACTCTTACCAAACTCTCTGTCTCTGTCTCTTCTGGCAAAAGTGAAAATGAGCTTTCAAGCCTACCAAGTTGGACAGGATAGATAATATGTTGTTGCTGTGTGTTTTCTTGAAAAAGTTAGTGCAACACAACAAAAAGTGGAGCATTTGTCCTCGTTGATGATCAGAGCAAGAACAATTTCAGTCCAATTCAAGAAAAGAAGTCAAGGGGCATGTCGATTTCTCGGCCTACGCTTGCTTCTATTGAATCCTTAGCGATACCTGTCGTGAGTGCTCTTCTCTAGCTGGTATATCTTTGATGATATGATTCTTGATGGTTATGGAGTTTCAAGCTTTAGCATAGTTGATATCTGGGATGATGCACTCCGGGGAAGCTCTCATCTTTGGTTGAAATTTGCAGGTTCAGGAAGTCGTCTTCTTGGCAGATTTTAGATGTGCAAAATGTCAACAAAGAGTAGCAGAAGTCATGTCTAAAATGAATGGTAAGTCTTTCCTTCCTTTTGCGTTTCACCTTGTTAACTAGAGTTGCTTTTCTCCAGAGTGTTTTAGCAGTGCATATTGTCTCCTCCATCCTAGCAGTAGATATCATGACTTTAGATTGTGGTGCGAAATCATGACAGCCATTTGTGTGCAGACCGTTGTTGTTGGAGTATCTCATTTGATTTTCTTCCAAAAGCCAGTGGACCTTTTCATTGGATTCCAAAGTGCAATTATTTTTGGTCCCTTTTGGAGAACTATTTGGACTTCACCTGTCACTATGTGTTCTAGCCTTCTGGGAATTTGTGGGGGTTGGTTTTTGGTGGTGGCTGTAATTGACTATATCCGTTAAGGGAATAACTTTACCACGAATCGCCAAAAGTTTGAGATTAAGAGAAGATGATAAAATCAAGGTTTCATACAAACTCTCACAAATTCATTTGAGTGGTTTCATGCCACGCCAAAACACATAAAAAATTGCTTTTCTTACATGGTGTTAAAAATGGTGAGCTGCACACGAGGAATGAATCAAAGACTTGGAATGGTATTTTATTCTTTATTCTTGGTCCTTCTCAAATGAACATTTTTTATGAGACTTGGAAGCAATCAATGTACTATAAGGATATTTTAATCAAATTATATATGAATCGTCTAACCTGCAGTCCTGTTACTCCTGTATGGTATTTGGTTGACATTGGTGTACCAAAGAGACGTTACCTGGCCCCTCGCGGTGGGAACGGTTGCATTCTGCAGCTTTACTTTTTATCAATTGTACCATTCTATTTTGGGTTTTTCTCAAAAGTGAAAGGGATTTAAAGTGTCCCATTAACCAAGACCTTTCGTCCAGGAAATATGATTGAGAAGAGAGGGGGGTCGGGGGGGGGGGTGGTGGGGGAGAGAGAGAGAAAGAAAGATGAACTCAACAACCTCACCCTTTTGTTATTAATAGCTCTAATGTGACTAGGTGGTCAAGTTTATCAATAATGGTGAAGGCTAGGATCTCTGCAGTATATCAATAATGGTCTCATACCGCCATTTAGCCATGTAGCCCATGGTCGATGATTTTAACAATTGATGTTGATGTTCTTGTTGTTTTTACTAAATTGTACAGAAGAACATAAAAGATGCGCTTCAATAGCACAGGTGAAAATCAATAAAGCTAATTTTTAATCGTCTTGTGAATACAATAACATAAATGTGTGTATGTGTGCGCGCTTTTTTTTTTAATCAATTAATAACGTTTACTCTACTCTTACTGTAATAGTATATTCTAGAGTGGGGATCCAACTGGATCATTGTGAATCGTCTTGCAAATACAATAACATAAATGTGTGTATGTGTGTGTGTATTTTTTTAATCAATCGGTAACATTTATTCTATTTCTACTCTTACTCTAACATATTTTAGGAGAGGACCCAACTGGACCATTGGAAAATCGACAGTAAACTAAATCATTATCAGACCAAATGGGTATATATCTATATGGATTAAAAGAAGCCACATGTTAGTGATAAAGTGAAGAAAGACAAGGTTTAAACCCCACGTCCCATCTCACTAAGATTTAAGTCTTTTATACTGGCCAACTGTTGAAGGAGCCATTGATTATATAATAACTGGTGTTTGGATAGTGAGATTTATGCCAAATATTATTTTACAATTTTACTCATATCACAATTGATGAAGTTTTGGACTTTACTCTAGATGTAGGGTCCGTTTGTTTCGGGTGAAAATGTTTTCCAGGAAAATATTTTCCTAATTTCCCGTGTTTGGTTGCACAAAAGTTACTGTGTAAAATATTTTCACTCATCTTATGGAAAACAACTTCCCTTCTAAACTTACTGAAGTTGTTTTCCGAAATGCATGCATCCCGCCTGTAGTATGTTCCAAACTTACTGAAAACATCTTGTAGTATGTTCTTTTTTTTTTTTAGTGTAAACAGGAGGACTCGAACCCAAGACCTCTTCCTTACACTCCCTCCCCCGTACCATCCAACCCAACCCAACCCTCCCCCTAGTATATTCAAAATAAAAAAAAAATCTCATCCTGCTCATCCTATGCTAGTAATTAATTATGTATAATAGGGACATATTTTTCTAGAGAAACTTTCAGCAGTGAGAGTGCAAGATATATGTCACAATAAGCATTGCATGTGATTGATATTTGACACTAAATGGTCAGCAATTTGTTTATTGCTTAAGGAGATATTTTTTATTCATATATACATTTTCCAAGATTTTTTAAAGTTAAACAATGAGATAAATTTTCTTATTTTGCATGGGAAGAAATATGTAGTTATAATGTGTAGAAAGTAAAGATAAAGATAAAAGTGAAAATATTTCAAAAGTTAAACAAACACCAGAAAAATGAAGTAAAAAAATATTTTTAATAAGCTAACCAAACACCTGAAAATGATGAAAGGGAAATGATTTTAATGGAAAATTACTTCCACGGAAAATATTTTCCCAAGGAAAACATTTTACTTCCAATCAAACAGACCCGTAAAGATGGCTATATGTTACTCATCCGCCAAGCAATACCTGACACGATAATACTGTAAATTTCAGGAGAGACAGATTCTGTGGTCGTCAGCGTGCTGGAAAAAAGGGTGACGGTCACTTGCAGGCTTCCCACGGAAGCGGATAGGGGAGGAGCTTCTGCACCGCGCCCCCCAGTTGCTCGGCTCAGCAAACTAGCCATATTGCTCATGCGCCTAAGTTTCTCCACATGCCGCTGATATTCATTAATTCTCCGGATTATAGATTCAAGAAACATAACAAAGCAAAAAAGTGTCTTGAAAATTAATTAGCACATATAGTTTTTTTTTTTCCTTTTTTACGAGCAAGAGTGTGTAATTCATACTTAAGTAGATTTGCTGACACGGATGCCTTGAATAACAGCAAAATTAGTTGTATATTTTAGTAGGAGAAGAATTCGGAAAATCTTGAAAATTTGATTGGAAGGATTGGATTTGTTTTTTCTACTTAGCTGTTGATTTTCCCACTTCCATGCTTGGACAATAATAATGTGATTAAGACTCGTGTGATTTTACATGCTTGAACCTTTAGGGAAATAGGCATTAGATCATCAACCTTCTTGACAAGAAAAAGATGGTTTCCAAATGATGTATGAAATGATACAAACCATTAAAGAAATGGATGATGCTTGCTTCAACGGGATCATGAATTTTGAATCAATTAAGGGATGACAAGTTGAGGAAGTTAACCAAAACCACCAGTTTCCTCCTCCCCTTCCCTTAGGTTCCAAAGGGGAATGGAATTAGATGCTTCAGCTGGCCAGAAAGCAACCTTTCCATTTTCAGTCAAGTCTTGGAGATATCACCCATCGTACCTCACATAGTCCTTTTTATAACAAAGCCGACATTTCCCAACTTTTGATCATCTTTAAGCTATGCCCGGACAGGCAAGTACTCTGGCTGCACAATCTCTTACAATTCCTGTCATTCTCTTTTCAACCCCTTTCTTTCCCCTTTTTCCCTTTTGACCTTTTGTGAATTCCTATTTCCTATTGGAACCAACGATATAGCAGTCAATTTGAGAAAACCAACAAAAATATGCCAGCAAATAATAGCTAGTCACTCGTCGAATTTTCAATGCTGAAAGAGGAATAACCAAGACTTCGCATTGCTTGTCATGATTTTCAGGTTTGTTGCATGGTGATGAAGATTAGTTTAGACTGCAATGGATGCTGCAGAAAAATGAGGAGAATAATTCTCAGGATGAAAGGTCTGCCGGGCATTTTTTCCTATGTTTTCTGCTCTGTTATTTTGCGTAATTACTTCAGTCAATAACATAAAAATTCCATCTTTTTTTTTTCCCTTTGATGCATGAAGAAATTGAGACACACTCGATAGAGAAGCAACATTCAAGGGTAATCGTGTGTGGGAGATTCGTTCCAGCGGATATAGCAATAAAGATAAGGAAGAAGATGAAAAGAAGAGTCGAGATTCTGGAAATAGAGGGATTAAGCAGTGGCAGTGATGGACATACAGAACAAGGGCCAGCACCAACCCATGTCCCAGACCATACCATTCCAATGCCCCATCTCCAAGTCCCGGACCCTCATGCCATAGCTCAACATGCCTAGTTTCAATTTCTCCTGGTTTGGGTGGGAAAAAAAAATGTCAGTCATGAACCTAACGAAAAAGGGCACCACCAGATGTTAATTTTAGACAAGAGACCGATTCTGGGAGAACAGGAAGACTCCGGGGGGGAACCTAATGGATTTGTCTGAAAAAGATGAAGGAAGGAAAATCGAAAGAAGAAGTAGGATTGGAAATGTACATGTTAAGATTTAGTAACATTTGTACATTGGTTTAGACTACCTCCCCGCTCTTTGGCTTTTTCTTTCTTTTAGCATTCAATTTCCTTGACCTCAATAGATTGTTAACATACATGCGCATAACAGGTTCGAGTTGGATTCGTCTACATTCATTACGCTTTTGATTTGAACTAATATAACCTTTTGATAAAATTGAAATCTAAATCCATTAAATTAGTGAATTATTAAGTACTAAATTTGATACATTTGAGTGTATATCACATTAAGCGATAAGTTGTTGTCTGAAATCTGAAATCTGATTCTATTAAGTTAATGAATTGTTAAGTGCTAAATTTGATATATTTGAGTGTATATCATATTAAGTGATAAGTGCATAGTTTATCACTTATTTTTTGGAGCAAATTTTGTCCAAAAAATTAAGTGCCGCTTAGTAAATTCAGATGTTTTAAACTTTGATTATTAAATGCGTTTGAATATGTTAAAATTTGAATTCATTAATTTGAATATGTTAAATATAATTATTAAACATGACAAAATAGTTTTGCAAACATTTGGAGTGGTTCTAATTAACATATAAGGACAATTATATTTATTTATTGCTCAAAAATGAAAAATCTTCGAAATGTTCATATTTGTAACTTTTTCACTACTTTAAATAAACTCTAGATTTTGGCAAATAAATCAAATCTGCAAGCTGACTTAAATCCACTTTGAGGCACTAAATAAAAATTTCCTTTATCGGCTTCTAATTTCTCTTTGACTAGAATCATTTCCCAAAAAAGGAAAACAAAAAATAAATGAGTAAAAGAAAGAGGAATTCCGTAATTATCTTAAAAGCTGGGGAGCTTTATGATATTCAGTCTTTAGTTTGAGTACGTATATAGTAAACCGGAGCCCAGTTTATCTATTCGCATAATCCTAATTATCATACGCGGATCTAACCAAGTAGCCTTAGAATCCAAATTCCCTTGTTCTTCTTCTTCAACCCCCCCAAACCCTAACCCTAAAAACTGGAAATCTCGTCTGATTTCCAATTTAGTGTTTAACTGAAGTCGCTTCGTTTCGAATTTCAGCTAATGGCGAGCGGCTCCAATGAACCCACGCGTCGCAAGCACCGCCGCTCTCCTTCTGACGACGAGAACAACGACGCCGAAGCACCTTCGAAACGGCGGAAGCACCGCCACCATAAACATCACCGGCATCATCGCCACCACCATCACCACCGCAGCAAGAAGGAGGACAGAGTTGAGGACGCAACAGCTGAAGCTGAAATCGAGATGGAAGAGAATCTAGAAGAGGAACGGAAGAGTAATGAGAATGCGGTGGTTGATGCTGCAACTGGTGGCACAACTAGTGCGGCTGTTATTTCTGGTTCAGTTTTGGGGATTGATTATGATATGGAAGAAGGAGAGATTGTTGATGAGGGTGAGGGTGGTGGTGGTGGTTCTCGTATCGATGGAGATGAGGTGAAAAAGGAGAAAGAGCGTGGTTCTGATGTGGAGTCTGGAGAGATTGGGGCTGTTCGCGGCGGCCATTCTGACAATTCTCACATGGTGTGTTCAGATTCCCCTTGCTTTTTATTTATTTTGTTATTTTTCTTGGGAGAGTTTCATTTCTGTTTGTAAAGTTTAGAAATTAAGCTGTTTGGTTGCGGAGAAAATTAATGGAAACCTTCCCATATGGAAATTGAAAGTTTGTTTACTCGTCTGGAATATCAGCTTTTGTGTCTTTGGCGTGGTCAATGTAGTATGCTTCCAAAGTTTTCGCTTCCTTGTGTTTCTCCTGCTGAACTTAAATATGAAGTATGCTTACATTGTGCCTTTGACCCTTTTTTACTAGAACCCATTTTACCCACTTTAAATGCCGGATTTATATCTTTATTTATGTAACAGGCATATAATTAGGATTTTTTTTACTCCTGGTATCAAGATTTGTCAGCAATTAAACAGGAAGTTATTCAATGTGTTTTAATTTGATATTTTGATCATATCTAATTAAAGAGTTTACTAATTGTTTTCTGCAATTGCTAGTGGAGTCATCGGTTTTGTTGTGAAATTTTAGTACATGTTTTCCACCAAACGGACATGAGAATTTGAATTCCATCTGGAGCTGTGCACTCCGGTTTTACATTTTTTCCCAGGCAAAAGTTCTATAGGAGATTCTGAAGACAGATGGCTTTCAGTGGATTTGTAAGAACAAATTTTATGGTTATTTATTTATTTATTTGTGGGGGCATACTTTGTTAACTTTGTTTTGCTTGGACATAGTAGATTTGAGGTTTGTGTGGTTAACCAGCTACTTTGGTTGTGTTCTGCAGAAGGTGGATGTATATCAAGAGGGGAAGAATCGTACCTGTTGTTTGCCTTCTGAAGAAGGTATGAATGAAGAGGATGGAAAGATGGGGGCATCGAGTGATTTTAGGATTGATGGGGAAGATGATGGATGTTTTGCGAGGAAGAAATATAATGATTTGGGTCAGAAAAGAACTTCCAGAACTGAACATATGTCTAATGGTGAGTTTGTGCATGAATACCGTAAGGATGAGTTAACTGTTGAAGAACATAGTTGGAGAAATGACTACTCTAATGAAGAAAGTATTTTGAGGGAGACTAATGAATTGTTAGCTGAAGGTGGGCAAAAAAGGGATTTCTCAAGGTCACCGTCACGGGACAGACACCGTGAAAGGGTTCGAAGTGGGAGCTGTCCAAAGTCACGTGATCAGTCTCGAGGAAGGTCTAGGTCGCAAAGCATTTTCCGAGAGGGTTCTTTACTCAATACACCAAAAACATATAACGATTATTCACGAAGAAAGAATAGGAGTGATTCAGATGAGGAGCATGAATCCAGCAGGGATTACCAACCTGCCAGCAGAGAATCATTTAGGGATGAAGAAAGGAGTTACAGCAGACACAGTAGTCGGTCAACAAGGCATCATAGTCGAGAAATGCGGGACAGGGATAGAGAGGGCAGCCGGGATGTGGACAGAGACAGGACAAGAGACAGAGAGCGAGAGAGGACAAGGGAGAAGGAGCGGGAGAGGGAAAGGGCTAGGGAGCGGGAGAAAGAGAGGGAGAGGGAAAAGGAGAGAGAGAGGCACAGGGACTGGGAGAGGGAGAAGGAGAGGGAAAGGAGGAGGGAGCGGGATAGAGGGAGCAGCCGAGATAGAAATAGGGACAGAAATAGGGATAGAGATAGTCAAAGGTCCTTTAGGAACTCTAAACACAATCACGCTGATGATGGCTATGGTGAGCAAGATAGGATTGATGATTACAGGCATAGGAGGCACGATGAAGCCGGTCACAAGGATAGGATAAGTGTAAGTGATACTGAAAAAATTGATGGTTCTAAGAAGCATATGGCTGGAAGGGAAAATGAGAAGTCTGGAAGGTAACTTTTTGCTCAATCAGTATATTGAATATGATCAGCATCCTTTTCCTCCTTCCATCTAATGTTTGATTTTTTTGATCACAGAGATGAAAATGAACAAGAAGACTACCAAGAAAAAATTGTGTTGCGACTAGCAGAACAGGAAGAAGATGACCTTGAAAGAATTAAAGAGGAAAGTAGGAGGCGAAGCGAAGCTATACTAGAAAAATATAGAAGTCAGAAATCACATCAGCACTCCGAAGCTAAAATAGAAAATACAGGTAATAGTATTTCTTTTGCCTTATTTGTATTAATAGGTTTTCTTTGTTCTATATTTTTTGTACTTGATTCCTTTGGAGTGCAGCAGCATTGGTTTCTTGAATACCTATTTTTCATGGCTTGATTTTTTTCCTTGGAGTGAGCTTTTATGTGATAGACATTTGATTTTTTTTTTCTCATCTTGACTTTCCATGGGCATATGCCTTGTCTTTTTATCTACTATTCTCCTGAAAAAAATTTGTTTTTCTGGAACAGTAAAAGAGCAAGGAGAACAGCCATTAGTGATGGTACCATCTGTTAGTGTTGCTCTCGAATCTAATTATCTTCGAAATGAGGGCCAAGATGACTATGTTGCTGACCCATCCTTTTCTGTTGGAAAATCCCCTCCACCAAATGGGGTTTCTACTATTGAGAAGCCTTCTGATACTGGTGGACTCGGAGCCGGTACTCCAAAGGTGGGTTGAAATTTAGTAGGCAGCTGGAGATATGTGTCGTGGACTGCATTGTTTCCCCTAGCTGCTCAATGTCCCCATTGTCAGCTATATGTGTCTCCAAGTTGGTTGCTCGTATTTGTAAATTTTTTAGAATTTTTTTTCAAAATTTTTGTCTAATTTATTTCTCACAATTGGCTAAACCTTTGCTGTTTGTGCCTGAATTATTCAACTTTGCAGAGTGAAAGACCTAATGATATGTTCTCTGATGATATATTTGGAGAGTCTCCTGCTGGTGTTCGTAAAACGGTAAGCCTTAATCTGCCACTGTCTTTTGCAACTAATAAATTCATCGCTTCTTGTTTGTTCTTAAGCTGGCTAACGTTTTGGTTTATACTGTCCTTTCCTGTATTTCTGTGGTGGCCTAAATTCATGTTTTATTGTCGATTGATAACTTCTTATTCCTTCATTTTATTAGCTCGTACTTATTGATTAGCTATCAAATATTTTCCTCAGGGTAAGGGTGATGGTTTAGCAATTGAAAGGAGTGGCCTACATGACAATTGGGATGATGCAGAAGGGTACTATAGTAAGTGTCTGAAATCTAGATTTATTCTATCACACGGACTAATTTCTTTTTGGAGCTAAGTTGTGATATTAACTAACTGTTCATTTGATAAAGTAATTTCTTAAGTTTTTTTTTCTTTCTAATCTTTTTACTGCTTGAACGTCAAGTTTATTTCTTAATTTTCATTTTGTGCTTTAACAAGAGGTACATTTAGATAAAGAAGTGATGAGTTTCCTGTTTGTTCCTTTTTGGAGTGTCTGGTACAACAAGTGAATCTGCTTGTCTTTTTAGTTCTTCTGGACTGTCTATTGATTAGGTGAATCTGATCCTCTTAATTATCCCTTTTGAGGAGTGTCCGGTTCAATATTAATCTGCTAATCTTGATTGTTCCTTTTTCTTTGCAGGCTATCGGTTTGGAGAATTACTTGATGGTCGATATGAAATCATTGCTGCACATGGCAAAGGTGTCTTCTCTACAGTAGTTCGTGCTAGGGATCTTAAGGCCAAATCTGGTGATCCTGAAGAAGTAGCGATAAAAATCATTCGCAATAATGAGACCATGTGAGTAATTAAGCTTTTCCTTGCTTTAGTTTCTGACTTTAGCTGTTTAATAATGCATCCTTTAGTCCTTTGTCTGTCAGAACTGATTCTTCTTTTTCTGTTGCGCTGTTAGGTTGAAGGCTGGCATGGATGAACTGGTTATATTAAAAAAGTTGGCTGGTGCTGACCCTGAGAACAAACGCCATTGTGTTCGTTTTGTTTCCAGCTTTAAGTATCGGAATCATCTCTGTTTAGTTTTTGAATCTCTTCATATGAATCTTCGTGAGGTTTTGAAGAAGTTTGGTCGTAATATTGGGCTTAAATTAACTGCTGTAAGGGCATATGCAAAGCAGCTCTTCATTGCACTGAAACATCTAAAGAATTGTGGTGTGCTTCATTGTGATATTAAGCCTGATAATATGCTGGTAAACTCAATTATCTTCAATATCTTTCCCTTCTATACCTCTTTACCCTGGTCTTCTTTCTGATACTAACCTATTTATTCTTTTTGCTGTTTCCTAAGGTGAATGAAGCAAAGAATGTATTGAAGCTTTGTGACTTTGGCAATGCCATGTTTGCTGGTAAAAATGAAATTACTCCATATCTTGTGAGTCGATTTTATCGTGCCCCAGAAATAAGTAAGTCTGTTTCTTTGTCATTTGCTTTCTAAGAAGGACTTGATTGCCTGATCAACATTAGTTATTTTACTGCAAGCTGAGTTCTATTACATTAAGGTATTTAAGCTTTTATTTTTTTATTCTTCTTAGTTCTGGGTCTGCCATATGATCATCCCATGGATATGTGGTCAGTTGGTTGCTGTTTATTTGAGATTTACACTGGAAAAGTTCTTTTTCCTGGTTCTACAAATAATGACATGCTTCGCCTTCATATGGAGCTTAAGGGCGCATTTCCAAAGAAGATGGTTCGTAAGGTGAGAGACAGCTTTATAGGTGTTTGTTTGTTTTTCCTCTAACATTAAATCATGAATTTAGGGCTCTTGCATCTCTCTTATAGTGTTTGAGATGTTACATGGATACCTCATTTTTACACAACAGAAATGAGGAGTTGAGAGTTTATTCTGTGGCTTGTATCTTTCAAATATAATTCCTTCACCATATTTTCTTTTGATATATATGCTTCCTTTCTCGCTCTTTTAGCTTTAAGAATTGGTCTCTTTTTCCAGAAGAATTTAGTGAAGTTTTATTTGTTCTCAACTTTTTTTTTTACTGATCGCTTTTTTCCTATTTTGTTGCTACAGGGTGGATTTAAGGACAAGCACTTTGATCAGGGGCTGAATTTTCTTGCCACTGAGGAGGACCCTGTCACAAAGAAGGTAATCATCAATTTGGTTGTGTGATCCTTTAGGGTTTTCTATTTGTGATTATATGCTTTGTATTACTTGCATTTCTTGTTCTTGTCTGTTTTTTTCTAATAAACTTTATATATATTCTATTCTGTCAGGCTGTAAAGAGGCTGATTCTTAATGTTAAGCCAAAAGATTTTGGAACTTTGATTGTGGGTTCTCCTGGTGAGGATCCAAAGATGTTAGCCAACTTTAAAGATCTTCTTGATAAGATATTCATGTTGGATCCTGATAAAAGAATCACTGTATCACAAGCATTGAGCCATCCATTCATCACTGGCAAGTGAAATATTGATGCTGATTTGTGACTACCGAAATGCTGTTGGGCTTGATATTTGAATATCATATGACTGCATTTATATATTGTTCTCTAATCATTGGGCATTAATGTCTGTCTTCTTTGTGCTGGCTATAAGAGCTTTAGAAACGGTGCTTGGCATGTTGAACGCAATTGTGGTGATGTTTGATTGGAAGACAGCTCGTACTTGGCGCTTCTGTCAGTGGAGTGTTTTCTGTTTCTATTGTAAGATAACTCGCCAAAGGCGTATTTACCTTTTGTACTCAATCTTAATGTTGACCATTAAGAAACTCTTCAGTAGAATAGTTTCAATTACTTTCTATTTTTTAGACTTTCCTCATATTGTATTCCAGATATGGTTCCAGTAACTCAACTCTCAGGCTTTAATGTGCTCCCGAAAATTAGATTTGTTGGCAGAAATAATTCTTTGTAAATAAAAACTTAACTTTGGAAATTTGTATTATTCTCTTCATCTCACTTTTCCCCCCTTCATTTTCTTTTTCCTTTTTAATTGCTGATGATTGGTTTATAAGGGATACTCGCATTAGATTATGGTCCTCTTTCTTGTTTTGTTGCCACTGTTTTTGCTTTTTGCGATAATATATGGGTCCTGGTGTCTAATTAAATTTCTCATTCAGGGTACCATCTCTGCTATGAGGCAACCGTTCAGTGCTTTAGATGCTTAAAAGTCAACCTGGAGAAGGTATTTTGGTTTGTTTGCTAGGTGTTTATTGTGAGACGGATGAATCTATGCTTTTGCATATATTTCTTTGATGTCAGATTTGGCTTATCACTGACGTTCATTTAAAGCCATTTCAAGCGAATCATTTTGTCATGTGACCTTGTGTGTCTTGGCTTTTCTTTTGATTACATGTAGCGTGTAGAACTTTCTTAGTGGTTGTGTATACATAGAAGTGATTTTGAAAAATCTATGGTTCCCATTCTTACTGAAAGTTGTTTTGAAGCATTATTGTTTGGTGCATGCTGTAAACTGATTTGTTTTGGCATGAAATTTATCCTTTGCTGAGATCTCTGTGATTGTGTGCGTCATTTCTGTTTCTTTGATGGTCCCCATTCTAATGAGGTTGCATTACTTCTGATCTTTGATTTGGCCATTCTGGAGGAATATATGCTTTGGAGGTTATTGGATGCTGTTCCAGGTGGATTTTTTTAGGTGTGTGTCCAAATCTGAACTTGGTGCAGTTATCTCATTTAGCAGATCTAATTTCTGGGAAATAGTTGAGTAATATGATTATTTGTTTTTGTAGGTTATGGCATTGTGATTGCTGATATCCTGTAAGTATATTCTTATTTTTCATCTCCTTTGTCATTAGTTGGTTTCTGATGTCAAGCTATTTCTGTTTCCAACTATGTTTTTAACTCCTCCAACCTGTACATGTGTGAATTTTTGTAGATTTATGCTGTTTAGCAAGCTATTTCTGATAGTAAGTTCTTCTTAATCTATATTTTGATACTTTCCTTTGCCTTGGTCTCTGGCACCTGAGCAGAGTGGGAATTTTTTCTTTGAATCTGCTTTTTATAGATGGGTTGTTTTTAACTCTTCATGTTTATGGGGTATTATAGTGGGATAAATGTAGACCTGGAGCTGTTATTAGGCTGAAAGTACATCCTTGAGGGGAAAGAATTAGGTCATGGGAATTTTGACGTCTAATTGTTATAAATCCTTTTCAAATCAATTATATTAAGGCATAATGTGCAAGTTTTTTCAAGCGAGCGATTTGTAATGCTTATGACTTGCAAGAAATTTCTAATAACCTTGTATCAAGCATATTAGAGAGACATGCGTGAAATCTTCTTCAGCAAGCATACAAGTCTGACTTGATGTGAATGCAGCATAGGATATACATTATCCAAGATATGATAGTCAGCAAAAAATTAGGTAGATCAGAGGGAGTAATGTGGGTTGGTAGGAGTAACAGAGTAGCTTTGTAAGGAATGGAAATAGGCTTGGATGAAAAAAAGAAGCCAATAAGGGTGTATATTGGGCACTTTACATGTGCCTATTAAGCCTGATTACCTGGGCAGTTTTTTGTACTAGGCGATCGAAGCCTGATTACATGTGCAAACCAATGAGATGATCATTTACTAACAGGTGTTATCATATTTTTCAAAAAAATAACTGCGTCAAAGAACAAATCACAGAGTCTATGAACTGAACTGGTTTTTAGATAATCTTTTAGCAACAAAATATTTTTTCCAGTCACTTGGCTTTCAGTGCATAAGCTTGCAGCCTCAGATTTAGCATACATTTGTTCCATAACAGGCATTTTGATGACCTTAGTGGAGTTTGAGCTTTTAAGATAAGAGCAGTAGGGTAGTGGAACTACTAAAACATTTTGTAGTGGGATTCTTGGCATCCACTTCCAAGTATACTTGTAATTTTTTTGGTTGAGCTTCCTTTCTCCTGAGTACTAGATAACCCACGGGTATCAGCATACATGACGGATCTTGATATGGCATGGAAATCTTAAATTTGACAAATGTGTACTTGGTAAGTTCAATTACTTGTGGGTCTGGTGAATTTCAGAGCGGCAGACATACTGAGGGTTGAGTCCTCCTTATTATATCTAATTGTTTTTAGCTTGATAGTTTTCCGGGGATGAGGTTACATGGGATAATATCATCAACCCTTTTATTCTGGAAAATGAGGTTGAGAACTGAAAAAGTGAATACCCATGTATTTGTTGTAGACGAGGTAGGACAGTGGCTACTCTGGTGTTTCTTGCCTTTGAGTAATACTTAATATGGTCAGTGAAATGCAACATTCCTTTAGTTCAATTAGCCTTTTTTTTAAATGAAGAAGAGAATGACAGGAGTTGTCAGGTTGTAATGGATTTTAGGAACTGATATTAGATTTCAACTGATATGAAATAGATCACAACTTGTATGAATTTGTCAAGGATGGAGTTTAGGAGTATTGGTTGCTTCTTTTCTACATCTGGATATTGATAACTCAGAGAGGAAGCTTTTTGCAAGGAAACACAAGTTAAGCACAGACGACATGGACAGAATAAACAGAACATACCAGCTGGGTCTCTTTTCAGTTTGCTGGCTGTTTGCTCTTGAGATTATTTTTGGCGGCTTACGATAGTTTTTGATTGCAGTAAGAAATAAAGGAAGTCTCAGCTGAGTTCATCTGGTGTGAATAAAAAATGTACAATTTTGTCTTTCTGGCACTTCATCCCTCTGACCTTCAACTTTTAGGTGCAGAAATTTGTAAGAATGCATGAATTGCTATGGCAAGTAATGTGATATTCTTTTGCCTTTGCTGGTGAGAGATTGGTATGGTCGGGGAATTCTTTTGTGCATTGCCTAGTAACGTGAAGGGTTGTTTTATAGAAAAATTGTAGATGTTATGTTGGTGTATTTAGAGTTTTAAAATTGGTACATTACGAAAAAGTAAGTACATATAGTTTTAAAGTGTTTTTGTCAGCAGTACATGTAGTTTATAGTGTTTTTGTGAGCATGTTGGCAACTCAGCATCAACGAGAGTGATCAAGACATTGCATTTATTCAATCTAATTAATACCTGTTTAAGCTAGGTTTTGATCGAGCATCTTCTCCATGCAAGATTTAGGTTTTGAGTATCATATTCTGCAAGAGTTTGTCCTTGTCAATTTGCCAGGGTATCATCGTCCCCTGGTGAGTGTGTGTCATTGAGAAGCGAGGAAAGGTAAATGTTCACTTGCATATCATTAACTAACTAGTAAAATGGTATTTGTAACTTACTAACTGGTGGTTACAATAATTTTTACGCACATTTACCAGAGTTAAAAGGTTTTCATCACATGCCGCTTCTATTTCAGCTATAATCTGAACACTATTTAGAGCTGCTCCTACTCCTCCCTGCTGTGGTTGGTGTTGGATTGGGTTTTGTTAATATGGTCTTGCTTTCTTATACTTCTATGGATGCCATTTACTGGCTAAGTGTTCTGGATGCATACAATTTTCTAGCGCCCCCCCCCCCCCCGGGCGGGTGTCAGGTGTCATATGAACCTGTTGTCTAATTAGAATGGGTCGGTTATGCACTGTTGATATGTCTTTCTGAAGTCTTTCGTCCTCACTATTTGTCTGGTTCCCTTTGTTTTGTCTGAGGAAGATGTTTGAGGGGCTTCATGCAAAGATTTTAGCAATATATGTGTGGTTGGTGTGGATTGAACTTGTCATCACATGGAGAGGCTTGAATTGTTGATACTAACGGGGCTGAACTAGTTTACTGATTTTTGGTCAGTCTTCAAATTTTGGGGTTGTCGTTGCCACTTTGTGTGCTGAATTAGAAGTGGTTCCATTTGTCCCGTGAAATTTGATGATATTTGTAATAATGCCGTCTTTTATGTTGTGCACGCGTAAAATCCACTGTTTCGGCAGGCTGCTGTTGTTCAGTTGCAAAAGAAAAAAAAAAAAAATTGCATGAATGAATTTGGTTAAGTGATGCAAAATCTCATCGAGAATAATGGGCTCTCTGCACCAAATATAAAATGCCAATATCAGTGCGCCGAGCAGGTTGATTAACTGAGGTTTGTGGCCAGCGCAACTTAAAGGGGCAATTGAAGTCTAATATTCTGCTCGGTAGCAACAGGAGCCTCTCTATAAAAGCTGAATGTGAGCTGCTGTTTTCATGTGGTTTATTGGAATGCCAACGTAAAGGTGGCGTCAAACGTGTTTGTTTCATGCTCTGTGTTAGAGATGTCTTATCCACTGGAACTTGTAACGCCTGAGAGGACCTAATGTTTTGAGTCGGGTTGGTACCCAATTGCAAATTGAAAATTTGATATTTTATCTGATGTTCTGGTCATGAATAGCCGGATTTCGGGCCGTTGAGCCTTGGAGCTGAATGATATAGAGAATTGGAACATGTGTCCGTTTTAATTCTCAATCATAATAGACTCCATAGTTGGCTTTACTTTCCTCGTCACTCTTGGCAATAAGATATGGACATGACTGATTCAATTGCCGGCGAGGCTCCTTCCAATAAAAACCCTTCCCCTTCTCCGTGCCGTCACTCCTTCCACTTTTCTCTATTCATTGACCTACTGGGACAGAGTATATATATGTATATGTGTGTTGATCGACCTAGTCAAGCAATTGAAGAGACGTGGTCACTGCCTATGAACATTCTAGGGAATACCTGGTAACTGCTCTAGTATTTAACGAACTTAAAAGACTACCGAGGCTGCTAGCTTGAGAAGTGTAATTTATTAGATTAATGAAGTTACTGCATTTTCAAGAAAAAAAGGAAAACTTTCTACAGCGTGCACTGTGCCCTAATGAATAAGGGTTAATGGATGCAATTTTGGACTGTATATAGCCAAAGGGTCGCGTAATTACGTGCCCACATTATTCAATTGCGTGATTTATAATTAGACGATATCCTGGATATGAGATTTTGCCTTAAAAGGATTTGTGTAGATCTGTTTCTATTTGGGTTATTCAAATACCAATCGGAGTTGCACGAAAAATGGTGACTATTCTTGGTTAGGACTGAGCAAATCGTGCTGCAGCCAACAATCAAGAGGGGAGAGATCACGATTAAACAATAATTTGGCAAAGCACTTTTAGGTTTGGTTTCTGTACACGATACCTTTTTTTTTTTTTTTTTGTCAGTTTGGGGGTGTTCGGACCTATATCCGACTACTCCTCCAGCCCCGAGGAGAGTGGGCCCCACCGATCCTCAGGAAATTATTCCGAATTGCTGAGTTCGGGATCGAACCCAGGCCGTCTCACCCTAATGAGGGCTACACGACCACCCGAGCAACCCGTCACCTTGAATAGCTTGAATAGCTTGTCAATTTGATTCAAAGTCTAGAAGATGGGAAGACAAAAATTTCAAGATGCTGAAATTTACATTGTAATATGTGCATTCTTGGAGACTCTCCACTGAAACAGTAACAATGTGCGTCTTTTTCTAATCTAGAAGGCAGCACTCGAAACGAAACTTCCATTTTTCTAGCACGAAACTTCATGCTTGAAGTTCTCTCGTTGGTGTTGAAGTGTCGTGCCTTTGTTTAGATTGGTTATTGGACAACGTTCACATTATTAGATACTTCGAATGCTAACAAATAATGGAATTTGTGGAAGTATAAATATCTGTTAAAAAAGAATTCGGGAGGGCGGATCTGCAGTGGATTCTTATTAGTAGCATATTTTAATCTTGCATTCCTAAATTAGAAATCGACGTATATTGAGGTATAGAGATTTGAACATGAAATAATTTAAACTGTTTCAAGATAAGGACTTCTACACCAGTCTTTTCTTCTTTGGACCTCTCCTTTCTTTTTCTGAACTTTGCATTTCATTGGTTGCTTCTAAATGGAGATATCTAACGCGGGAGTACCTTGACTATAAGGTGGCTCAGACAGATGGCGATGGGTCGAAGCCACTTTTCACCTAAATATTTTCCATCCCAATCTGTTATCTAAATTCAACTTTTTCCCTCGTTAGAATGTGAAGAAACATGGCACGTAGTGTTAAAAGACGAGCTAAACTATTCGAATTGGATTTGTCTTGATAAGACTTCATCATTTGCATTTGATCTGTCACTAATCAAACCAAACTTGAATAGCAAGTTGTATTTGATTAACTCTTAAACTGAGGTTAAGTTTGGCTTGATTAACATAACGTTAAAACTTATGTGTTGAAAGTTTTAAACTACTCGAATTCGACTGAACAAAAACTGATTTGAATTCGGTTTAATGAGCAAACAAGTCAAATTTAAATACAATTTTAAACTTATAAATTTATCAAACAAACTTGAATATTAGGGTATTTCACTTGATTAAACTTGCTTACATCCTTAAAGATACTCAAATAGTTATGATCTAACTTCCTTGTTCCTAAGAAATTGGGGTTTGGGAGACAAACATATTGCTTAATAAATGAATCGAATCATATAACATAATAATGGCTCTGCTCTTTAGAATTAAGCAAAAACATATGAATCAGATATAAGAATATTAGCTATTCAAAATTTAATCTGGTTTTGGTAAAAGTTTCTATGCGCGTGACAACCCTTTAGCGATTCGCAGAGAAATTTATCAACCGAGTCGTATACATGGTAAGAGAACCAGCAGGCGTTAAGGAAAAAGCTGAATTTTCATTTACGCGATAAAGTTTGTTTCTGATAATGGGTCCACTGTGCAATAAATAGTCAGTTGTGAGGTCCAAATCACAATAAACAAAAACATTAGATATTAAACAGTGTCGCCATTAATACCAGAAGGTTCCTTGTCATACTTCAATTTAACTTGAAATGGTCAAGAATTTTAGGCCTACACTGCCATGGCAATTTTCCTTCTCTTGAAAAAATTGCCCTGAAAAAAAAAAGAAGAAAGACTTTTAATCTTACATCATCTTCTTTGGAACCCATCTCTTACCCTTTAAGATTGTGAAGGGCAATATTTTCATGATGGACAAAATTGCTCTGATGGGGTAGGAGTTGCTCCGTCATTTACAATAGCCAAGAAAAGAGGGCAGGTCTAGAAATTAAGATACCATAAATATCACCGGGACTAGAAATAGACAGTGACAAATTAGTACTCGTAGAGAAAGTCTCTTCAATTTATTTACCCTCACAGGAGCGCGTGAAACCACTTTTTCCATGCAAACAATTTTTGCAAATTCTCTAACTATATGTCCTTGTAAATTGAGTGTTATAAAATAGTAAGTGATTATGTTGTGGCTGGGAACTCTTTAGTGATTCTCCTGAGCTTTCATAAATTCTACAAGAAACCCAAACCCTTAATCCCATCAGTTCTTGATCATGGGAACAAGTAATTGCTGGTTTCTTGGGTTGTATGATTGACCTTGTACATAAGTTTAAAATAAGCTGGTCACCTAATTAATTTGATCTGGTAAGACCCTCTACCTATGTTGCATCTAGGGAAGGTAAAAAGCATTCACATAAGTACGTAGCGTATTTTGTTTTGGTCACAATTAACACTAAGGATTACTGCATTTCTTGCTGTTTCCACACACAAATACACACAGAAAGGCAAATGGAACAAGCAATCCCACCACGAAGGTGGTGGAATTTAATGTTGAAAGAGGAGAAGAAGAAACATGCATGGCAACTAGAACATTATTTGGTTAGGAAGGGAAAAAGAGGAGAATACATGATATATAGAGGAAATGCAATATTGTGTTTTGGCTTGATCTTACAAAACGCACTTCATCTTTTCTTAATTAATATGCTTCATATTTGTTCAATTAGCTATTTAACGTTTCTAGCTCAGTTTTTGTTCCGTGGGCTAATTTCTCAGTACTGTGTGCTAGGTACTAATTATTTTTTTGTTTCTTGATCATGTCATCCTTATGCTTATTAGGATAAGGATTTTATTAGGATAAAGTAACATTTTTTTTTTAATGCATTATTAGGTTGGAGCAACATTTGAGGTGAGATTCAAGAATGATCCTAGGAATTACTTTTGAATGCCTTTTATATAGAAAACACCGTTCAATATCCTAAAACCTTACAGCAAAATTATCATAAAAAACACCTATAGCAAAGAAACCATCTGAATGTAGCCTCAAGCTTCTTTTCCAAAAAGTAATGAAAAATGGCTATTACTATTTGATTTAATCACAAAATAACATGCAGGTTACGACTAACGTAGTCCAAAGTTAAAAACTACGACCCTTTAGGTGAAGCAAGAATGGTAGAAGTGAGAAAAATACAAAGAACTAGATACAGCCTGATACTGATCATTAAAATTAAGAAAAAAAAAAGTAGGTTAATTAAGGAAAAAAAATGTTAAAATATTTTCTGGACCATGAATATCACCTGTACACGAATCACCAGCGCGTGCCCCCCTGACTCCCTGGCAAACGAACGAAACCAGCGGCGTTTAATTTCCTCGAACTTTTAACCTAGTCCTTGCCAATGACTTAGTATCTAAGTAAATCCCCACACGCTCAATTTCATTGCAACTGCGCTGATCTGATTCACACACACAACACACACTGATTATAATTCCACGCATATATAAACTACTCACAGGAAACAAATTGTTCGCGTAAATTACCTTCAGCACCTAAAAGGCGCAAACGAGCCTAGCTAGATCGTTTGTTTGGGCTCGTTTGTTTCCTTGTGCTGCTGAATCATATACTCATATTTGCAAGCTTAGCTGCCACCACTTTTGTGTTCATATCAGAAGCTTAGTAAGGCTAGCAACGATCAAAGACTGAGCATGGGAAAGAGGCTTGATGCTCTATTTGGAAGAAGTTTGAAGACAAACAAATTACAGGCCAACATTAAGCTTGGTATTTCAAGGCTTCCTGTCCTCAAAAACCAGCGCCAGGCTCGTTGCACCGTGGCCCGTTCTGATGTTCTTCAATTCCTGAGCCTAGGTCAGCATGAGAGAGCTCTTCTTAGGGTGAGTGATTGGCTTTTCTTGATGTTTTCCTTTCTGTATTTTTGTTTGTTCTTAGTGACTTTTTGTGCCCAATATGGTTCTGTTCTGATAGGTTGAACAAGTGATCAAGGAGCAGAACATGTTGGATGTGTATGTTATAATAGAACGCTATTGCCATCAGTTGACCGAGAGGATCAACCTCATTGAGCATGAAAGGTTGGTTTTTCTTTATTAAGTTTGACGTGATACAAGAAGTTGATTTTTTTTGGTTGATCAATAATGGTATTGTTTCTTGGCTGCAGAGTGTGTCCTGAGGAATTGAAGGAGACAGTATCAAGCTTGATTTATGCAGCTTCAAGATGCGGGGACTTCCCTGAACTTCAAGATATTCGTGCAATTTTTACATCCCGTTTTGGGAAGGAATTTGTAGCTCGAGCTGTTGAGTTGCGAAACAATTGTGGAGTTAATCCTCAAGTAAAGCTAATTGACAAAAACAGGCCCAATGAAAAATTTGTTTTTAGGAAGTCAATAAAAAAGTTTGTTTTCTTATGCGTATTTGTTGTATGCAGATGATACAGAAGCTATCTACCAGGATGCCAAGCTTGGAGAACAGAATGATGGT